AGCGACCCTGAACAGGGTTTCCGAGGCTGTAAATCTTTACGGGAGCAGAAAGCCTCATCTTTCTCCCGCGGAGCAGCTGGTAGTTTCGAACTGCTGACCTCGTGGTTCGCAGCCTGATTCGTAACCACTACACTACCAGAGCTCCTTTTTAATAGAGTAATTATCCTATTAAATACAACTGATTTTTTTTGTGTGGTGGAGGGGGGCATTAAATAGACAGGAGTAAGATGTGAAGGTTAGGGTTAAGACTATGGCTAAGTCTAGGTTAGGCCTAGGATTTTGTTTATTATTAGGGTTCTGGTGAGGACTAGGGTAATCGTTAAGGGTCAGGGTCAGACTAGGGTAGGAATAAGACTTGGTCTAGTTTTTAAGGTTACAATTAGGTTTATTTTTATTCACTTATTTTCTTGAAATCTGTTTGGCTTTCTCATAATTTTTAAGTCCTATTACTACATTATTCCCTCTTTTTGCTTTGTGTTTTTTTATTGTTGCAACTGTATCTCTGGTTTTCTATTTTCAGTCTTATAAGTCTGTTTTGCTTAGCCTACTTCTGTGTCTGGGTGGAATATAGGTGATATTGTCATATATGTTAGTCTCAGGTTGTTGTCTGCTATTGTTGGTTCTCTATCCAAAGAGCTCCCTTCAGTATTTTTTTGTAAGATTTGTCTGATTTTAAAAAATTCTTTCGATTTCTGTTTGTCTGAAAATGACCAATTTTGCCTTCATATTTGATGCAGTTTTGCCGGGCATATGATTCTTGGTTGGCAGTTTGTTTCTTTCAGAGTTTTATGTATGTCATTCTGTTGTCTTCTTGCCTGCATGGTTTCTGCTGAGATATCGGAGCTTATTCTTATTAGTTCACCTTTGTAGGTAACTTTTCGTTTTTCCTGAGCTGCTCTCAGAAGTCTTTTCTTGTTTTTGGTATTGAAAACTGTGATTATATCTTGGTGTTTTTATTTTGGGATCTATCATGTTTGGAGTTTACTCAACTTCTTGAATAACTATTTGCTTGTCTTTCATGATGTTAGCTAAGTTTTCTTCCAGCAACTCTATGGGTATATCTCTTCCTGGTCTGGAATTCCGAAGTTATTCCTCTTGATGTGTCCCACATACATCTTAGACTTTCTTTGAATTTTTTGCTCTCTTTTCTAATTTCTCCCATTGTTTATTGTTGTTAAGTACCATTGAGTTGACTCCAACTCACCTGTCTAGGGTTTCTGAGAAGAAGCTACTGAGTTTGAACTGCCAACCTTGCAATTGTAACTGAAATTGTGGTCCAGTGCTTACTTTACAGTGTCACATGATGACTCTATTAATTTAATATTGAGAGATTTTTCTTCCAGCTCAGTACTTCAATTTTCCATTGATTCTGTTCTGTTTCTGTGCCCTTTAGTGTGTTGTGTATTTCTGAAGTCTTAGTGTTAATCTTCTGGTTTTCTAATTGCTGTTTTTATGTGATTCCTGGTTTTTCAGTTATTTTGTCAGTTTGTTTCCTGAGTTTTTCCATAATTGTCTCTGCTTTTCCTTGATTTCATTGATTGTTTTCTTGATCTTTCTCACAAACCACTGAAGTTGCCTAATTTAACATTCTTTTAAAATTCCATATCGGGTAGTTCGGATACCATTTCTGGTTTTATATTTTCACACTCTATTTTGGTCATTTGTTTGAGGCAGTCTGTCTTGTTCCTTTGTGCAAACAGAAATTGGTCTGTTTTCCCTAAGACGCTGTGGTATTTGTACATAGGCACTCACCACTTTTCTCCTGGTAGATGTGGTAGAATCTGGAAGTAGAAACAGTTAGCTCACTGTTCACTGTTTATGTAATGTAGTTCAGGGCAGGTTCCTGTGCCTCCAGAGGCAGGGGCGCTATACCAGGCACCTGACCCCAGACAGAGCAGAGGCTACACAGCAGAGGGTGCCCTGACTACCAGGAGGGCACAGGTACAAGGAAGAAATGTACCCCCTTGCTACAAATGTCCAGCTGTGTCCTTTGCCTGCAGGTTGCTGTATTAACAGTCACTTACTAAACCTTAAGATGGCTGCGCCTCACCACATTAGCCTACACTGGCCTGTTTATCTTCTCTCACGGCTCCTATGTAGCTTTCTTTTCCACTCGGCACTCAGTCCTCCTCTCTGTCCTTTCCTCTGAGGCTCAGGGCTCCAGGGTCACCATCTATATCTTTCACTGTGTATATTATGTTTTTGTTGGTTCCGTGCATCTGCTTACTCTTTCATCTTGCCCCAAATTCCCCATTAATTACAGTTTTATGTCTTCTTACTTTAAATAATATAAGCATGTCTTTGTTCTAAACACTAATAACCATCATTTCTTAAAGTAGTATTTTATGCAGTGAATATAATCTAGTTTATTTAGCCAATTCGCACTAGGATAGAGTAGAATCTCAATGTAATAGCAGTTGGACATAAAAGTTATTACCATTGTTTCACCGTACTATATACAATGTAAAGGAACTCTGGTAGCATAGTGGTTACAAATTGGGCTGCGAACCTTAAGGTCAGCAGTTCGAAACTACCAGCTGCTCTGCGGGAGAAAGATGAGGCTTTCTGCTCCTGTAAAGATTTACAGCCTCGGAAACCCTGTACAGGGTCGCTATGGGTCGGAACCGACTCGACGGCACTTAGCAACAACAACAACATATACAATGTATTGAATGTTTCTTTCTCTGTGTTTTTTTTCCTGAAGAGAGATTGTAGAGTAAGGTTTAGGCTTGATGTGGATCAGCTCAAACTGAAACTTCCAATGTGTTTAGACCATTATACATTTTAGGTTCCCGGTCTAAACCAGTTGTGAATATTGTAAGAAGCTTGTTACTAGTGTAGTGACAATATGTGCATTTTTCTTCTCCCTAGGAACGAAGACCTTTCCTTGCCTCTGAATGTACTGAGCTTCCCAAAGCTGAAAAGTGGAGACGGCAGGTACTTTCTGGGTGAATCTGGTCTTAGTAGAAGTAGTAAGTCACTGATTATTAATTATCTAAATGATTTTAAACCAGAATCTAAGTATTTTTAATTTAAAATTTTGAATTATATTTTCATTTATAAATATATTTTTCCTATGTTTTCAGGAATATTGAAGTCATAAAAATATATTGCCTTTTATTTATTTTACAGATTATTGGAGAAATCTCTAAAAAAGTGGCTCAAATTCAGAATGGTAAGCTAATGTATCTCTCTTTTAAAGTGCTTGATTCTCAAATCCACAGTTAGACTTAGACAGTTTCATACTCTTCTCTCAAGTGATCCTAAAGGAGAGAGAAAATCAATGAGGACATACAAGATCTGAACTATCAATAAGCTTGTCCTAACTGACATTTTTACACCACTTAACAACAGCAAAATATAATTTCTTTTCCTTATGTGCACTTTGGACATTCATGAGGTTAGAACATATTCTGAACTATAACAAATTCAAAGTTATAAAAATCATACAGATATGTTCTCTGGTTATAACAGAATTAACTTATAAATCTGCAATGAAATTTTCTGGGAAATTCCCAAATATTTGGAAATTAATATACTTTTAAATAATCCATATATAAAAACGGAAACCATAAGATAACTTGGAAAATATTTTAATTGGATAGAATTAAAAAATATATAGCATGTCAAAATTTACAGAATGCAGTTAAAAATGAAAATTTATAGCTTTAAAATAGTAGAAAATAAGAAATGTCTATGATCTGAGCTTCTGACTTAAGAAACTAAAAGGAGAGCAAATTAAGCCCAATGCAAGCAAAATGAAATAATAAAGATAAGATTAGAAATCAATGTAACCAATAGAGAAAGCAAATAAAAAAGATCAATAAACTTGGTAAACCTCTAGCCAGACTTACTAAGAAAAAAGAGGATATTACCAACATCAAGAATGAAATTGGGAATAGCCCCTAAAATTATTTTAAAGGTGATAAGGAAGTATTGTAAACAGCTTTATATCAACAAATTCAAAAAAATGGATGAAATGGAGCTATTTCTTAAAAGATACATACTACCAAAGCCGACTCAAGAGAAGTGGATGATTTTACCCCTCGGGATATTTGACTGTGTCTGGAGAAATTAAGGGTTGTCACAACTGGGACGTGGGAAGAAAGGACTACTACTCACATTTATTGGGTAGAAACCAGGGATGTTGTTAAGCATCGTGCAAAAAATTATCTAGCCTAAGATGTCATTAGTGCCATTGTTTACAAACAGTGCTCTAGAAGAGCTGGATAACCTTGAGCAGTCCTGTATCTGTAAAGGAGTTCTGGTAGGGAGCTGTGGGGTAAAGCACTGGACCATAATGTCAGTTTGAACCATAAGGTCGGTAGTTCAAATTCACCAGCCACTCCTAGGAAACCCTATACAGGGTCACTATGGATCAGAACTGACTTGGCAGCACTTAACAGCAATATCTAAAAAGAAATTGAATTTATAGTTTAAAATCTTGTAGCAAAGAAATTTCTAGGTCTTGAAAACTTTCCTGGTGAGTTCTACCAACATTCAGTTTGGATTTAAGGAAGCGATTATGTCAGTTATACACAGTTTCTTCCAGAAAATTAAAGAAGTCAGCATGACCCTGATACTAAAATCAGAAAAAGAAATTTATATATATTGGACCATTAGAAATAAAACATTTTTAAACATGCTTTTTATAATAGCATCAAAACAGAAGAAATATTTAGTATAAATATTTTTGGTATAGATATATTTGGTATAAATCTAATAAAGCATGTATAGGATCTGTGTACTAAAAATTAGGAAACTGGTGAAAGAGATCAAAGACAACTTGAATAAATGGAGAGATGTATGCAGGTAAGTAAAAAAGTAATGCTACTAGAATTGCAGTTCAGACATGTATGAATTTATTCCAAACAAAACATGATTCTGTGATGACTAGATGGTTGTAGACACATTCTCTCAGTAATATACTTGTCTGAGTTTTATTGTTATTAAGCGCCGTCCCATTGAGTTAGCACCTAACAACATAGCGATTTCATAGCAACCATATATTGGGTTTCCGAGTCTGTATATCTTTGTGGGAGCAGAAAGCCTCATCTTTCTCCTGCTTTGTCTCGTTGTTGTTGTGAAGTGCTGTCGAGTCAATTCCAACTCATAGCGATCCTGTATAGGGTTTCCAAGGAGCAGCTGGTGAGCTTGAACCACTGATCTTGCAGTTCAAATGACTTTGCATTCTGATGCATTAGCCCGCAGCGCCATAGCAAGACTCCTTTGTCTTATTGTTATTTTGTTGTTAAGTGCCATCAAGTTGGTTCTGACCCATAACGACCCTGTATAGAGTTTCCGAGAAGCAGCTGGTGAGCTTGAACCGCTGACCTTGCAGTTCAAATGGCTTTGCAGTCTGGCGCATTAACCCATAGCACCACATCAGGACTCCTTTGTCTCATTAGGGTGCCTTAAAAAAAAGAAGATACTTTTAGTGCTGTGAAAAAGATTATTTTGGAGTCGAGTGAAAACCAAATTTTTAAAAATCAAGTGGACATCTTTCCAAATGCTTTGCCACACATTTATGGAATTTCTGTCCCATAGAATAACAGATTTTCAATGACTCAAGCATTTTAAGGAAGACTGGGAAGACCTCAGAGATGAGCCATGAGAAGGAAGACCATCAACGCCAATGAATGAAGAAATTATAGCTGAAATCCAGAAACTGGTGAAAGAAGTCCATAGAATTACCATTGATGTCATAGCTACTAAAATTGGGATCTCACATAGTTTGACATTTTCAATTTTAAGCAAACATCTTGGCCTCAGCAAGCTTTTCGTTGGATGGATGTGAAAAGAATAGCTCAAAGATCAACTAGCTCAAAGTGCTGATTTTTCTATCAGTCTTTTCAAGAAGATCAAGGCTAAGGAAGATACTTTTATAGAATGATCATAACCAGGGACAAATCTGGATTTAATCTGGACATATCTGTATTATAATAAGATACAGTGAGAAAGGTCCAGTCAAAACAGTGATTTCCAAGGGGATCTGTTGGGCCAGTTAAATTCAAGGCAGGGAGGTCAGCTAAGAAGATTATGGTAACTGACTTTTATTATTCCCAAGGATAATCATAAATTTTCCCAAAGGATACAGGATGATCATGAGAGCTTGTTAGAAAGAAGTTTTAAGAAAATGTAAAAGTGTGTTGGTGAGAAAAAGGCCAGGAAAGTTGTGCCAAGGAATGTCTTTCTGTCATGACAATGCATCTGCTCATTCTTAAAGGAAGCAAGGGCTGTCCCTATGAGAACTTCCTTGGGAAACTGTACCCTATCACATTTGTTGTTGTTGTTGTTAAGTGCCGTCGAGTCAGTTCCGACCCATAGCGACCCTGTACAGGGTTTCCGAGCACATTATAGCCATAATATTTCTCCTTCAGACTTTTTGTTCCCAAAGCTTAAAGAATTTGTACAGGGAATATGATTTAGCACCTACGACTATGCTAAAACTTGTTTTGATGTGATGAGCACAGAATTCTTCAGGGAATGTGAGTTGTTCTTAGGTGCCATTGAATCAATTCCAACTCATAGCAACCGTATGCACAACAGAACAGAACAGTCACTGCCCAGTCCTGCTCCATCCTCACAATCATTAAGCTTGAGCCTACTGCTGCTGTCACTGTACCAGTCTGTCTGGTTCGGGGGTCTTCCTCTTTTTCACTGACCCTCCACTTTACCTAGCATGATGCCCTTTTCCATTATGTCCGAAGTATGAGAGACAAAGTCTGAAGGAGCATTATAGTTTTCCTTCTTCCCACACAGATTTGTCTGTTTTAGCAGTCCTTAGTACATTTAATATTCTTCTCCAACACCATAACTCAAATGCATCAATTCTTTTGCAGCATTCAAAATAACGGGTGGCATAGCTTCTAGCATCACAGTGACACACAATCTACCACAGTGTAACAAACTGACACATGGTGAGGAGAAGGGTTACAGAGATGTAAACTCTGCCTTCAGAAGTGTATAGCCCTAGGTAGAGGATATGTCAACAAGCAATAAGTTTACATTTTGCTGTTTGCTTAATAACGATTTCTACGATTTTTAGCAATACTTTCTGATGTACCCTTGCTCTGTGTTCATGGGTTGGAAGACAGCACAGTAAAGATGTCAGTTCTTTCTCTCTTCAAATAGTGTTACAGTCAAAATCCCAGTAGGATTTTTTGTATGTGTTGACATCCTTGAGAAAGTCTCTGTTATTCCTGATGGTGCTGATCCCACACAGAAAGCTCCTAGACCCGAATGCTTACACCAGCCTCCCAACATTTCCTGACATTTGCCAAGTTTTGGGTTTTTTTCCTCAAGATTTTGCCATTTTAATAGATATGTAAATGGAGCTTTACAGGGTTTTCCAGTTTATATTTCTTCAGTTGTTAATGAGAATAGAGGTTTTCTCCCCAACATTAGTGGGAACTCTGTCCATAGTTCTTGCTCTTTGATTTATTTTGGTGTTAAGTTTTAAAAATAAATGTGAATGAGTACTTTTATGTAGTACACCTTCGTGGATATGATATAAGTGGTATTTTTGTTTCATAGCTGGTTTAGGTGAATTCCGAATTCGTGACCTGAATGATGAAATTAACAAACTGCTGAGAGAAAAAGGTCATTGGGAGGTCCGGATAAAGGAGCTGGGTGGTCCTGATTATGGGGTAAGTGAGCAGTAGTCCCAGTGGCATTTGGTTTGTGAGCTGGTAAGCTTTTTGGCAGGCTGAGTAGATCCCATATGGCTTTGAAGCTCCTTTCCCAGGTTTCCTGCAGTGTTGTTAGGTGCCATCAAGTTTATTCTAACTCATAGCAGCCCTGTGCACAACAAAATGAAACACTGCCCATTTGTGTGCCATCCTCACAATTGTTGTTACACTTGAGCCCATTGCTGCTACCACTTTGCCAATCCATTTCATTGGGGGGTCTTCATCTGTTCACTGACCTTCTATTTTACTAAGCATAGTGTCCTGATAATATATTATATATTATCAGGAGGACTGGTTCCTCCTGATAATATCTGAAGTATGAGAGATGAAGACTAACCATCCTGGCTGCTAAGGAACCTTTCTAGCTGTACTTTATTAACACAGATTTGTTTGTTCATCTGGTGCTTTCAGTATTCTCCAACAGCATAACACAAATGCATCATTTCTTCTATGGTCTTCTTACTCACTGCCCAACTTTCACATACATATGAGGCAATTGAAAATACCATGGCTTGGGTCAGGTGCACCTTAGTCCTCAAACTGATATCTTTGCTCTTGGACATTTTGAAGAGGTCTTATGCAGCATATTTGCCCCGTGCCTAGAATATGCCTTCCATTTCATTTTTGACAACTTCCAATTTTCCTATAGTCATAGTTCATATATTCCATGTTCTGGTTATTAATGAATATTTACAGCTATTTTCATTTTGAGTTGTACCACACCAGCACATCCTGAAAGCTTTACTCATTCATATCATTATACTTAACTCTACTTTGAAGAGGCAGCTTTTCCCCAGTTGTATTCTGAGTTCCTTCCAACCTGTGGGTCTCATCTTCTAGCACTATATCTGATGATGTTCCACTGCTATTCATAAGGTTTTTCACTAAAAACCTTTCTAACCATTCTTCTAACTTCTCCTTCTTTCTAGTCTATCTTAGTCTGGAAGCTAAAACCTGCCCACTGTGGGTAACCCTGTTGGTATTTAAATATTGGTGACATAGCTTCCAACATCACATATCACAGCAACACACAAGCCACCACAGTAGGATAAGCTGATAGATGAGTGGTGGGTGCCACAGAGTGGTACTCAGTAATTAAAAGGAGGCTTGAAAAGTACCTGCTACATACAGAAAACCTGTGAAAAGTATGGGTAGGATAATTTGTTTAAATTCCACAACATATGCCTTAGACTGCCAGCCCCATGCTCTTGAGTAACTCACTTAATCCTCACTACCTCAGTTTCCTTTTTTTTAAGATGAACATGGCCTCCTCTCGTATTGTTACTGAATTCCTTGGGCACTAGATACAGCCATGCAGTCATTGTTGACTTCTTTACATGAGAAGCCTCAGGAAATTCCATTCATTTCCTTATTTAGATTCTTATAAATGCTTTCAAACTTTTAAGACTATGACCATTGCAAATATCACACACAAACACAAATGTTTTATATCACAACCCATTGCAAACAAAATGTACCGAAAAAAATACTACACGCAATGTACTTTGATATGTTTTGTTCTGTTCTGTTTTTTTTTTTTTAAATGTTTGTGACCCACTTAGTTGATGTTACAACCCACTAATGGATCTCAGCTCTAGAAGTGGTGCTCCAGAACCTGAAGCATTTACCTACCTCAGATCACATGAACCAGAGCTATCTGCTCAGAGGGCTGTCATACTAGGGGTTTTAACAAGTCTGTAGAAAAATTCCACTTTATATTATACATGGAATGCATGGTATTTTTCTGTATGTTGGTCTTTTTACCTTTATGACAGTCTAACACAAAACCATAAGTCTCACTTTAGTACCTGATCTTCAAATGAAGCATTTATTGAGCACCTGTTTGGTTCTAGAACACTCTGCTAAGCATTTTCTCCAGCAGTTCTCTGGATTAAGTGAATCCTTAATGAAGTTTTTTCCTGTCATACTGCTTTAAAACAATGCAGAATTTTTTAGCCCTCCTAGAAAACTGATTTCACAAGCATTAAAAATGAATATGTAAAATATTCTTAAGTTCTGCCAGCTAAATTCAACATTATTAATGCCTTTACATATTTTCTTTGAGATTTTTTTAATACTTAAGAATTTTATTTTCATTTTCCATATATAAAAGTAATAAATTATCATTGTAGAAAATTGATAGTTCAGAAAAGTATGAAGAAGCAGAATAAGATTCAATCATAATCTCATTTCCTAGGTATAAGCACTAGAATGCTTCCCTTGTATTCTCCCTCCTTCCCCTGCTTGGGCTTTATTTTTTATTTTTTTATTTTTAATTAAATGTTTTTATTTTGGATTGAGTGAAAGTTTACAGGGCACGTCATCAGCTTCACATTCAACCATTCACATAGCTTGTTTCATTACATTGATTATTATCCCCTCCATATATCATCAGTTAACAGTGTTTCTCTCTATCCTCTTTGGCTTTTTTTTTGGATGGGGGGGGACTTGCCTTTTTGGAATTTACAGTCTCGGCTTTTAGGGAAGGTTTTTACATTTGTCTGTGGATATCCAGGGCTCATGTATGAGATTACTAACAAGCATTACTGAATAATCAGATGAGGGACAGTTTGCTATGTCTACTAGGTAGCTAATGTCTGATCCTCAGAGCCTATGGTTTGGACGGTCAACAACACTTGGGCCCCCAGGGGCTTGACCTCCTGACCGGGTCTGCTCGGTCTGCATCCGAATCCTCTTTATTTATTGTTTGTTTAAGGGACGCTGCCTGTCTTAGGCAGTCAGTGCGAATTCCTCAGTCTTACCAGTCATTGAAACTCCTTGCAGCATGGCAATGGCTCTGTCTTAAGTTGCCGAGGTTCCACGTGATCCTTACCCGTCTCTGGCCACACGACCAGCATAAACAGCCGCCATCCGAGGAAGGCAGGGAGGGAGGAGATCGGCTGGGGACCCCATACGCAAGACGTTGCCAGCCCACCACCTGCTCTAAGGTGACCAAGCAGGATCACTATGCTGAGGTTCAATCAAGTTCTTAGGGGATCTTACTCTCTAGCATGGGTAGCAAATTAGTAGCCACTCAATGCTCACTTTAAGAATTACTTATATCATAAATTTGAGCATGTAGCTGATGAATATCCACAGACAAGTGTATATTGTTCCACAACCTCCTAAAATGCTGTTGGATTAAGTTCCAATCAAGTTCTGGATTACTGAAAGATAACACAAATCTACTTATACCATGAGTAATCTTAGCTGGGAGTGTAATCTGGATATATTGGGTCCCTGCTTGGGCTTTAGCTGATTATTATTTCCATTGTTTTTCTTTAAATGCCTTTCCATTCTTCACATCATGCTTGTCCTATGTATTTTGGTTCCAGGTTTGTAATTTATTTTCACAGTAGCAATTTTGATTATATAAGCAGCATGTATTTATCATTTTGGTGGGTTTTCTATGCATATGTTTGTTTTCACAGAAAATAGTTCATATTCTAGTAACACATTTTCATGTCGTGAATCCAGAGTTGGAAAAATCGGACAGAAAACACCTGTAAATGTTTATGAAAATTAACCTGTTTTTTACATTTTTGTTATATTTGCTTGATCATTTTCTGTGTATGTCTTGAGATTTGTTTTTGAAGTATTTAAAAATACACTGAATACGTCATGCTCATTTGCCACTTAATGCTTCTATTGCATTTTCTAAGAATAAGAGTTTTTTCTAATGAAACAAAGGTAAGTTTTCAGAATGTAAGAAATCTAACTTATATACAATTTTTTTCTTGGATTGACTGCACAGCAATGGGTTTGTTTGTTTTTTATTTTTCTTCCTAGAGCATTTTTGTCTCCTCTGCCCAGGATCACATGCTAGTTTTTGTTGTCGACGTTATTTTTAGTGGCTAGAATACCTCTTCTGGATTTGTTTGTCTTCTACTAATTTTCATTTAGGTTGCTTGCAATGTTTTCTTAAGCTTGTGTCATTTAATATTGTATCTTAAGCATTTTTTAGTCAATATGAGAGTTTCATAAGAGCCATCACTTATAAGGTATAGAATATATGTTGTTGTTAAGTGCCATCTAGTTGGTTCCAGCTCATGGCAAACCTATATAGAGTTTCTAAGGAGCGGCTAGTAAGTGTGAACCACCCACCTTGAGGTTCAAACTGACCTTGCTGTTGGATGTTTATTCTACTGTGACACACCAAGAATATATGTTGTTGTTGTTAAATGTCATTGTGTTGGTTCCAACTCATAGCAACCCTATATAGGGTTTCCAGATTGGTAGGTTTGAATTACTGGCTTTGTGGTTCAAAATCCAGTGCTGACCCTACAGCGCCAGGAGTACTGTATATGAAGTAAGTTTAAAAGTATTGATATAGAATAATAGAAACCTTTATTTAAAATATCAAAATGGGAAGCTAATGTTTCCTACCTTATCCTCTCTCTGGATATATACACTTCTGAAGGCAGTGTTTCCCTCTCTCGAGCCCTTCCTCAAAGAATTCTGTGCTCTTTGATTTACACCATGTCAAAATGACAGTTTTGGGTCCCCATGGAAGTCAAATCATGTTCCCTCTAGATGTTGAGATTTGGGGATAAAATGAAGCCTGAAGGGACAAGATATATGGGGTAACGATGCATGTAGGATATATGGGGTAACAAGACTAAGACAAATGTATTGAGAGAACTTGCCCACAGCCATCCACTGATTATCACAGAGATGTGTTTAAACACGTTTTATATGGAATAATTCCATACATATTTGAAATGGAACCATAGTAGCAATACTTTTGGACTTACTGTCACATTCTATAAGGGATAATGATTTAATGTAGATAATTATCCTGTACTGTCAAACAGCAATGATTGTGAGAGAGGCACAATATTGGGCTATAATGTGTTCTGTGTACATAGGGTTGTTGAGTTGGAACTCACTTTGTGGTGCTTAACGGTAGCAACAACTGTTAGATATGTTAGTTGATTATTTAAAGGGATACAAAAAAAAGCATAATAACCTCCTTTGTGCATAAATATTTTCCATGTTTAGCATTATTGTCTTAAAATATACTTAAACATGGTAATAGTGGGTTTAAAGATAAGATCCATTTTCTCTTTTTCCCTCCCAACAAGAAAGTTGGCCCTAAAATGCTGGATCATGAAGGAAAAGAAGTTCCGGGAAATCGAGGTTACAAATATTTTGGAGCAGCAAAAGATTTACCTGGTGTTAGAGAACTATTTGAAAAAGAACGTAAGTAACTCATGTTTGTAAAGGCTGTAGCCTCTAGTTGGTAATAATCATAATGGAGGTATTCTAGATGCTAGGTGTTTTTCCTATATTATTTCTTTACAACAGTCATGTATCGTAAGAATGATTATTCCATTTTGAAACAGAAACCTTAACTGGGTGTTGAACTTGCCATCCCGAGGCAAGTTGTGGCGAGAGAGTGAGCCTAGCATTGGCTGGTGCCAAAGTCTCTGCTCTATAAACATGCCAGTCCGTCAGTCTGAATAAGGAGTTTTCCTGTTCAGACTCTGAAGTCCCATCAAATCAGGTTCATGTTTCAGTTATTTTTCAGTAGCTGAAAACCACCTGAATAAATAAAAAATCTTGGGCAGAACCCCAGTATGTGAACATGGATCACAGTGGAACTACCCTATGTGAATAAAGTGGGGTGCCCTCCCTTGTCCTCTCTTCCCCTCCATTATCCACCTTCCACAATGGCCCCCAAGATTAAGAGTTTTCAAACATACAACTTGAAACCACTGGTCTACAGTTTTAGTGCATTTGAATTTTGCCTTTTTTTTTTTTTTTTCCTTCATCGTGATATGGGTAAAAGTCTACAGAACAAACTGGTTTCCATTTGACAACATACACTGTTGGTTGATTGCAGTTCCCACAGTGCAATAGCACTTCTTACTTTCTCCCTGTGTTTTCTGTTTCCAGTTGTCCTACCTTCCTATCCCCTCCTGCCTTCTGAGCTTTAGCCCTGGGCCAATGCTGCCCTTTTGATCTCATGTGGTTGATTGTTCTAAGTGGTGTGTACCTCCCTGGTGTTATTGTTCACCGTAGACTTGAAAGTTGAGCCATATGGGTGAGTTTAGTTTGAGTTTTGCTTTTTGGAAAAGTAGTCTAAACACTCAAAGAAACGTGATAACATATTCTCCCCACTGGTGGCATTTTGCTATATTTCCTTCCAATTGGATTTTCTGTATTTTCAAAACAGTTACACTTTTCCCTAGATCCTTTGTTTTTGTTTTGTTTTTTTAAAATTCATTATGCCAAAACTAGTTTTACATGCTTCATTACCATTACTTAAAAATCATTCAAAGTTTAAATATCAAATTGTAATTATATTTTAGTTATGGAAAGTTATAAAATACAGAAAACCAGAGAAATATTACCTACATGTTCACAACTTATGGAAAATGATTGTTAAAATCATCGTGGTGACAACTGGGTTCTTGCCCTACAGTTTGTGAAGGGCTAGGGTGGAGAGAGAGCTCCTAAATAGAGATGATGCTGTATGAGATTTTGCTGTATATGTTAGTTTCGTTTTTGCATTTACACTTTTTCTAAATTTATTTTCATGTATTCTAGTCATCGATTTTTTTTTTTTTTTTCCTTAAACAAGAAAGTGCATATCTTGGTGTTGCTGAGTCTAATTCAGTTAGTACAAATAGAGCCAAAGTCCTCTTGAGTCCCTCATTCCAGTGTTTCCTGTTAGAGATCATATTAGTTATCCATTTGGTGTGTACCTTTCCAGGCCTTTTTTCATGCATTTAACTTGTTTTTTTCATCCGTCAAATTGTATCACTGTAAGTGGCAGATGATTCAACCCAAATCAACTTACACAGAAGAGCAATATATTGGGAAAAGCCTATGGGTTGTTTAGTTTCAGGAGTGGTTGAATCCAAATCACACATTCTCAATGGTTCAGTTTCAATTTTCACTGTGTGAGCTTTTTTCTCTGCTATGCTTTCCACTTACGATGGCAAGTTGTTTGTCATCTTGTCCTCTCTCCACAATCGATCCCTTCTCAACCAGTTCATACAGAATTCTCAGAACTGAGTCTCATTGACTGTGGTTTTATCATAGTTCCATTATTAGAAAAACAATTTTTGTGACCAGAGTTCAGTCACATCCCTTTTCCTGGGTCTAGCAAATATGGTGGTCATCATTCAGAAGACATGAATTCAGAGAGGCAGAGGATGGACAATGTGCTATTACCAATAGTGGGAGGAGGAAATGGATAATGGTCTGCTAGGAAAAAGTGACTTCCCCATAGCTGTTATGTTGTATATAATGTATATATGAAAGACTAATACTCTGTTGACACCCTTCTATATTTATACTTACAGCACTATTAAAAGACAGAGTAGAGTATGGTATAGATTAATCATATTTTGCATAACCATTCTTCTGTTGATAGACTTCTAAGTTGTTTTCAGTTTTTCACAATTATAAGGATTTTTACTAATCTGATGGGTGAAAAAGATAATAATTTTGTTTTTTTTATTTCCTTGCCCTGATTATGAATGAAATTGATCATTATATTTGATTACTAATTGAAATGTTCATAATTTGATTGTTTTCTTCTAAAAGTTACCAATGTTTACCGTTTGACTAATCTGTTGGGGTGCCATTTCTTTTTGATTTGCAAGAAATACTTAAAAATTGTTAGACATTCCATGTTCCAATTACTAATGGATATTTGCAGCTGTTTCCTTTTATTTGAGTTTTGTCACATCAGCAAAAGAAGGTCAGTCCTGAAAACTTTATCCACACCATTAAAGTTGATTCTACTTTAAAGAAGCAGTTCTTTCCCAGTTGTACAGTTGTTTTGATTGCCTTCCAACTCCACGCCTTTATAGCCCTCCCATTTTAGGTAGCCAGTGTCTAAGTTGCCCATGCCTATCAACCCGTGTACAGGGGGGTAGGTGTGATCCTTAATGTGAAGACTCCTTCTCTCTCAATTGGTATTTTGAGCTACTGTGTCCATAAGTATAGGTCAAGTTCATCAAATTGTAACAATTTATACCTGCTTCCTTTATTAAATTTCTTAATCTTCCTCTAATTGGGTTCTGGTCATCAAGCCATTGAGGCTAGGTCAGGTGGTTACTAGCTGCAAGTTTGGTTATTCTTGTGCATCTCCCCTCACTTCATATCAGCTAGATGCTTCACTCTCAGCTCTAGCCCTCGGTGGCTAGGTCCATGTCCATGGGCTCAGGTGTCCCCAAGTCTGCCTACACTTCAGACCAACCAGCCCTTCCTCTTCCCTCTCTTATCTCAAGGTCGACACAAGTGTGGAACATGGTCAAACTCAGCCCATATCTTCATTGCTGCCTTTCCCCCAATTCTATTCACAATTAGACCAGTGTGGTTGCCAGCAAGCTTACTTGCCTGCTTGTGTGTTCCCTTTGAGTTTCAGTCTTGGAGAGAGTGTAAGCATTGATTTTTAAAAGGTTGATTTACAAAGTATATCAAATAATGCTGTATAATCATGACCGTAGAAAAGTGCCTGTTTCACTTACTCTTGATGTGTACTATATGGATGCATATCTCCATACAGGAAAAAGGGTTTTGTGTGGTTGTGATTTGAGAGACTAATTCATGTTATTTCTTTTAGCTCTTCCTCCTCCAAGAAAGACACGAGCTGAGCTTATGAAGGCGATCGATTTTGAGTACTATGGTTACTTAGATGAAGATGATGGTGTTATTGTGCCTTTGGAACAGGAATACGAAAAGAAACGTAGGTCTATGGGAATTGCATGCTATCGATGACATCTAGTTTCTGTTTGCTCCTTTGAAATGCTTTATGCTAAAAGGGAGTTTTCTTTGTTGTTAATGATCTTCAGAGTATGTGGAGTTACTGTCTTTCTCCTAAGAACTATAAGAAGAACCCCAGCAGCTCAGTGGCAATGTGCTCAGCTGTGGTTTGCTCCTGTAGATTCCTGGCTGGGAAACACTCTGGGCTGTTCTACTGTGTTCTATGGGGCCACTATGAGTCTAAGTTGGTTTAATGCCCGTTCAGCAATAACAAGGGCTGTGTTGAGCCGGAAGCAGGCTGGGAGAGTACACAGAGCTGTGTGTGGCCTGGCCTCTGTCCACTAGGACTTCACCATATTGATTTTTTCCAGACTGATCTTCCTGGAAATTGTGAAATGGTGCCCAGTAAAATAGTTTTTAGATCTGTTTCAAACACCTTTGATTCCCTTTCTGAATGCTTCCTCCGTGTCAGGTACTCTGCTAAGCATTTATAAGTATTCTTTTGAGGCTTCACAACAACTCTGTGAGGAATAAGCTGTTATTAATCCCCATCTTACACATTGATCTGGAGTTGGCCGGAGTTCTTTTCCAGCCATCCTGCTTTCCTGCTCCTGCTTTCCAGTGGACATGTGGAACCCACTCAGATTGTTGAACTGTAGAGGATCTGGGAACCTTTTCTCAAAAGCCCTAGTAGAAATTTAAAGCCAGGGCTGTTGGTAAGACTAGAGTGCCCCTCACATCCATTTCCTGACCATTGGGACAGAATGAAGGGTGTCTTTTTCCAGGAGGACATCTTGACTTTTCCCTGCATAGAGTTTGAAGCTTCTTATAGAGACAGGATTAATAGTATCTACTCCCCTTTGTCTTCAGTCAGAACCGAATTAGTGGAAAAATGGAAAACAGAGAGAGAGGCCCGGCTGGCAAGAGGAGAAAAAGAAGAAGAGGAGGAGGAGGAAGAGATCAATATCTATGCTGTCAATGAAGAGGAGGTATATGATTGATGAGGATGGGGGGCTTGACTCAGGTATGGGGTTGAGGAGGAGGTAGGGGGTTGAGAAGGAGGTAAGGGATTGAGGAGGACATAGGGGGTTTAGGAGGAGGTAGGGGGTTGAAGAGGAGGTAGGGGATCTCCTTGCTTCCGGAGAGTGAGTGAAGGGGCCCAGAAGGAGGCGCAGCTGTCTCTCTCTCCAGCCTAGCCCTCAACTTTCTTACCTCACAAGATTATAGGGAAGCTTTCATAAAGGAGTGAGAATACTTTGTAAACTATTTTATACCAGGTATTATTTACTTAATTATTACATATGGACCATCCTGGAGTCCTGGTGTGGTGCTGTGGGTTAATGTGCTAGACTGCAAAGTCGGTTTGAACCGCAAGGTTGGCAGTTCAAGCTTACTAGCTGCTCTTCAAAAACCCTACACAGAGTCACTTTGGGTCGGAACCGACTCGACGGCACTTAACAACAACCTGGACCCTCCTGAGATATACTAGAACTGGATGTATAAACACATGACTTCATCATTTCTTTTTAAATGGCAGTGCTTGTAACTCTTTGTTGTGCAGCATCCCCGTTGTACCAATGTGAAACAAGCCCCGAGCAGACAAGGGCCTCCCTCAGAGGTTCATGGTTAGGGACAGAATTATTATCTATGACCCCTGCCTCTCAGGTACTACCTCGTAGTTTCTGGGTCTCCTGCAGTGCCTGGCATGTGCAGGCATCCCCAAATAGTCATAGATCTGAACCGACTTGCTAGTCTGAGAAAGAGGAGGACACTCATTCATGTACAGTGATGGGTCAGGCACTGTGTGAAGAGCTTGCTGAGACATCACTGGTGAGGTACCAGGCTCAGAGAGGTGTAGTTCTTTGTCCAGGTCAGCCAGCATACAGAGGCCATGGGTCCATGGTCAGGTCTGGTGGATGCTGGAACAGGAAGGCAATGTGTTCCAGGAAGATTCTCCCTCATAGCAGACAGGCTCCCTCACCATGGAGCTGTGAGCCAGCCGCACCCAGTGCATAGGGCCCTGCAGGGAGCATGCTCCCCATTAGTGCAGACTCTGAATGGACACGTGGGCAATGAGGACTGTGATTGAACTGAGAGAGCAGTGTGGGTGAAGGTCCTATCCCCAAGGAAACTTCTAATACATCGTTTTATAAAACTCTGACTCAAGGTGTTGTTGTTTTGATGTTGTTAAGTGCCTTTGAGTCTGTTTCGACACATTAATGACCCTGTATAGGGTTTCTGATGAGCAGCTGCTGAGTTTGAACCACCAACCTTGCAGTTCAAACCAACTTTGAAGTTGAGTGAAGACTCTGATTCAAGATATACCCACACTAACTTGCCTTATTACATATGTGTTATTGTTGTTAAGTGTCCTTGGGTCATTTCCAACTTATTTAACTTAGGTAATTGTGGATGTGTGCCAGCAAGTCAGTTCCGATTTATAGAGACCCTGTATAAGGTGTATGAGGCTGTAAATCTTTACAGGAGCAAAAAGCTTCATCATTCTCCCATGGAGCAGCTGGGGGATTCAAACTGTCGACCTAGCAGTTAACTGCCCAACGCATATCCCACTATTACACCAGAGCTCCTTCATTTAACATACAGAGGTGGGGGGGTGGGACTTTAATGGTGGATTAGGGAGAAGTACGGTACAGACCTTCAACAGTAATAAAATAGAATACTGGATGAAGTGGGTTCAGGGGACAGTCCCAGAACTCTAAACTACATATAAAGGAATATTTAGAAGGACCAAAGGCTTACTACTAGTGAGATTTGTAGCAGAATCAAGAGAAGTGGTGTTTTCTGATCTGTGGCTGCCAGCGGGTGCTGGAGCGGCCATCTTGAACGTTGATGGAGTAGGATCAGAGGATTGCTTCCCACTGCACCTCAGAGGTCTGACTGATCATCAAAGATAAAGATGTGAACATTTTTTTCCTGTTCATTGATCTCTCACTATCTGCACACCTCGACTCTGGTGACTAGAAGGGGTGCTGGAGTGAGTAGATACCCCCTAGGGAGGATGCCTACTAGGCATGCTCATGGATCTACTCAGCAAAGACCACAGCACACAGAATCTAAGAAGGGGGAGAGGTCAACAGGAATTGCTTGAAACAGAATGGTCTCCCAGAACAGCTCCCGCCTGCTGAATGAGGGGTGTTAAAGTCATACTTACATTTTGCTGCATTTTTTTTTTTTTTTTTTTTTTTTTTTTTTTTTTTTTGTTTTTGGCTTTTGTTTTCCATTTTGGTTTTTTTTTTTTTTTTTGTTTTTTTGTTTTTTTTTTTTGTTTTTTTTGGTTCCCCTTTTACCTTGGGCGCTGGCACTTTCTCTCGCTATGTTACCCAAGAAGAGATAGCAATTGTGGTCACATAGCCAAGCTACAATCACACCCTGTCAAATCCTACCATCCACATCAGATAGACAGCCAACACCTACTACCGTGCTCTGAGTTGAGTAATAAGAAAAGTAAAAAGGATAGCAAATCTCCTGATCACATCTATCTGGAGACAATCCGAAAGCTTAATAAATCAACACACATCCATCTAATTATTGAAAACACATCTAATTGAAGACGTCTAAGAGGCAGTCAAAGATCTCTGCACATGTCCAGAAACAAGATAGAGTAATTGAAACAAATGAATTGCTGGTAGACTTAGACTTCCCATTGAAAGGAGGGTAGGCTTTGGAACTGCCTGAGAAGGAATTCAGGAGAATGATATTGAGGTGCATCCAAATGCCCCACAGAGGGGTTGAGAAAAATTAAGTCAGGAAAGCACTACAGGAACAATCAAATAAGATAGAAATAGCAATTCAAAACCTGCAAAAAGAAGTCCAAATGATCAGTAGTAAATTATCAGAAATGGACAATACACTGGAAGGGCAAAGGAGTAGAATTAAAAAGATGGAAGCCAGAACCAGCGAACTTGAAGACAAGTCTCTCAGTACTGCTAAAATAGAAGAGCAAGCAGAAAAAAAGAATTAAATCTGAAGACATTGTAAGGTTCATGTGGGAAAACATGAAGAGGAATAATCTCATGATTATTGGAATTCCGGAATAGAATACCACAGAGGAGATAGTTGAAAAGCTGCTGGAAGAAAATTTCCCTAACATCCTGAAAAATGAAAAGATAAGCATTCAATAAGCTGAACAAACCTCTGGAAGGATAGACCCCAAAAGAAAATCACCAAGACATAGCATAATCAAGCTCTCCAGAATCAAAGTCGGAGAGAATCCTGAAAGCATCTAGGGAAAAGGGAAATGTTACTTATAAAGGCAAGCAAATCAGAGTAAGCTCTGATGTTTCAGCAGAAACCATGCCAGCAAGAAGGCAATGGGGAGACATATATAAAACCATGAAAGAAAAATAACTGCCACCAAGAATTCATCTACCCAGCAAAGCTGTCAATCAAATATGACAGTGTAATAAAAACATTCCAGGATAACATACAAAGATTAGAATTTACTACATAAAAGATAGAGGATAGTTACATCATCACAAATGGGAACCATGACCTAACCATGGTCCTGGGAAGTAACTCAGCTGAGACTGGCAAGATTGAGGGCAGTTAACTCGAGAGTGGTCCAGGTAGAGCAGATGGTGTGTGCTGAACATTGTAGGAATACGAGGGAAGGAAACAGGCTGGTGTGGTAGGGCAGAGAGAAAGAGGAGCTGGGGGCTAGGCAGCGTCTCAGACTCCACTAATGAGGGTTTGTTTCTTCATTATACAAGCAATGGCTTTGTTTCTTTTATTTTACTTTTGATTTTGAGATGATTATAGGTTTGCAGGAAGTTGCAAGGATAGTTCCTAGAGGTCTCATGTGCTCTTCACCCAGTGATTATGTATTACATGGTGTCCAAACCTGGGAGGTGACAGTGCTACAGTGTGGTATACCCACTATCACAGTGAAGACAGGGCTGTTTCATCACCACAGAGATCTCCTCCTGTCCCTTCCCCCCTCCCCCCTGACGCAAACACTCCATCCCTAAGCCCTGGCAACCATGGGCCTGTCTTCCATCCCTAGAGGCTTGACATTTTGAAGATTTGTCAGTGGAGTCATGCAATACATCACTTTTTGAAATTGGCCTTTGCACCCAGCACTGTGCCTTCCCTGGGGGTCTTCCCAGGTTGTTGTGTGTCAGCCGGTCATCCCTTCAGGCTGAGCAATTATCCACGCTCAGAAAAGTCCCCTGTCAGTGTGCAGGTCAGTGAACTTCCTCCACAAGGTGAACACAGCCACGTAGAGGTGGAGGATGAAGAACTAACAGAACCAGCTCCCAGGAGCTCCTCACTCTTCTGACTTCTTGATGGTTGGTAAGTGCCGTAGAGTTGGTTCTGAATCATAGCAGCCCTGTATAGGATCAACTAGGAGCAGCTGGTGGGTTTGAACTGCTGACCTTGTGGATTGCTGCCATCACAGCGCCATACCACGAGTCCTGACATCTAATAACCCATTATTCTTACCTGTTGTTTTTTCATTTTTGTTTTGTTTTTAATACTATGTTTTCTGTGGAAGTTGATGCTGCAATATAGGTTCTCATTTGACAGTTTCTAAGTGACATTTGGTGTGGCGCTCTGGGTTAATGCGCTGGACTGCAAAGTTGTTTGAATCGGAAGGTCAGCAGTTAAAGCTCACCAGTCACTCCTTGGAAACCCTGTACAGGGTTGCTATGGATCAGAACTGACTCAACAGCACTTAAACAGCAACAACAACAAGTGACATTAGTTGCATTCTTCACAATGTGTCAACATGAGCTTTAATTGTGTTCTGGTTGTTCTGTGTTCAGTACTCTAGTTGCCCTATCTGTTTATCCTGTCACTTTGGTTAGAGAAATTGTTGATCTTTTAATCTCATGTATCATATTTTTGCATAAAGAAAAACATGCCTTCTGTTTTTGTTTGCCAACTGCCCTGCCCTCTCCCCTCGGGTATTTTCTTAAGCCCCAGTATGCCAATTTTTTAAGTATGTTTTTTCAAAACAAGTTAGCATTAAAAAAAATATCTCTGGGATTGGTGGGAAACAATTGACAAACCAACAGAAGGCACCACATGTTATTTGTGAGAAATACAAGATTTTTTTTTTTAATGGTCCACTGCACTCCTGGATAATATTTTTTATTTTGTGGGCCAGTCATATTTCTCTGAAAGGTGACCTTGAGATCATTTCAGTTCAAAGTTTAAAGGGCAGTAGTCTCAGGGATTCCTCTAGTCCTAACTGGTCCAGTAATTCTGGACTGTTTTTTAATAGTTTGAGTTCTGTTCTGAGATTTTCTCTCATTCTCTCAGGGTACATCTGTTGTGGCCCTGGTCAGCATGGTCAGTAGTGGTAGATGGTGACCATTTGGCTCTGGTCTCTGGGTAGGCTACTAGCCCTCTAGACAAATTTCTTCTCTGAAGCTTTGGTTCCCTTTTTTCTCGTTTACATCTGATGAGTAAAAACCAGAAGTCGTATCTGAGATAACTACTTACTATCTTTGAAGATCCCAGACTTTACTCACCTCATTAGGTTGGAAAACATGAACTATATTATGCCAGTTGACTGAGTTGTCCTTTGAGATTAAGCCTGTGACACTGTTGGATAAGCGTTGGACTGCCAACTGCAAGATCTGTGGTTCGAGCCCACCCATCACTCTGCAGGAGAAAGATGAGGCTTTCTACTCCTGTAAAGATTTATAGCCTTGGAAACCCTGTGCAGGGTCACTATGAGTCAGATTTGCCTTGATGGCAGTGACTTTGTTTTGCTTTTTAATATAACTGGGGTCATGCAAACTATTGTATCTGATGTCCGTGGGTGTTTGCATAGTGTTCACATAGGTGCTATTACAAATAGTAGTAACTGAAAGTTTGCCAATTTGAATCTACCAGCCACTGTGCGAGAGAAAGATGTGGTATTCTGTTTCTGTAAAGATTTATAGCCTCAAAAACCCTGTAATGACAATTCTACTGTGTCATGTAGGGTTGCCATGAGTCAGATTTGACTGACAGTAGTAGGTTTGTTTGGGTTGAACTTCCTCGTGAGTGGTTCTGGCGGAAGTCATGCCTATTGAGTCTGGATTGAGTGTGGAAATACTAACACTATCAGGGAGCCTGTGTGGGAAGGGACTGCGCTGAGCCTCTGGCTGAGGGGCACACAGGGGCCTTAGTGCCTCACAGTCACCCTTCTCTTTAGTACTTGGGAAATACTAACGTCCACATTTTGACTTTTGTTTGCGAGTAATCTGTATTGACTTAGATGCAGCCTGGATTCACCATTGTTTCTAAATGTATTTTTTAAAGTTTTATTTTTAAAAAAGGTTCACAAGGTTCAGAGACCAAAAACGCATGTACAGATAATTCAGCAAAGAGTCTCATCCATAGCCCATCCCCATCCACTTTGTTCTTACTGCTATTGTTGTTGTTGTTGTTGAAAGCCATCCTGTATAGGGTTTCCGAGGAGTGGCTGGTGGGTTTGAACCACTGACCATGTGGCTCACAGTCCAGTGCTGATCCTATACCACTGTGATTGTTGTTGTTGTTAAGTGCCGTCGAGTCGGTTCTGACCCATAGCGACCCTGTACAGGGTTTCCAAGGGTGTAAATCTTTATGGGAGTAGAAAGCCTCATCTATCTCCCGCGGAGCGGCTGGTAGTTTCGAACCGCTGACCTTAAGGTTCGCAGCCTGATTCGTAACCACTACGCTACCAGAGTTCCTAGTAGCTGTCTATTCTTAATTTCTTTTCTTACATAAAAAGTAGCATAGTTCACAGAGTTCTGTTGGTTTTATTTTTTTAATAAAGTATCTTGAATATCTTCCTTAGTACAGAGCTTCCTCATTCCTTTTTAAATTTTGAAAACATTACAGCATAGTGCATATCATAGAGGGGCCAATACTGATGTAACTGGTCTGTTGATGGACTTTGGGTGGTTCTCTGTTTCAGTCTGATGAGGAAGATGGCCAGGAGAAAGGAGGCGAAGATGGACAGCAGAAGTTCATTGCTCATGTCCCAGTGCCATCCCAGCAAGAGGTAGGATGGGGGATGAGTAGATTCTGCTTATCCATTCGGGTGGCTTTGAATCCTGACCACATGGTGCTTGTCACTGTGGACTCCAGAAGGGGCCAGCAACATCTGCTTTAAATAAAACCAGTCAAGTATCTTAGGGCTCCAGTGTTTGCTGCAGTAGAATTCTTACAGAAGCGCTCCTTAGGGTTATCTGGATTTCAAGTCACACCTCTTGATAGACTGTCCTCACGGACTACCTTCTAGCAGGGCCTGCAGGGTGGGGACTTTGCTGAGGAGTGAAACATTAGCCCTTTTCTCTTCATGTCCATAGATTGAGGAGGCACTTGTACGAAGGAAGAAGCTGGAACTTCTTCAGAAATATGCCAGTGAGACCCTACAGGCCCAGAGTGAAGAAGCCAAACGGCTGTTGGGATATTAATGGCCACAGGGTGGTCATCGAGGTCCCCTCTGGCTCCATGTGCTGACCTGTAAGACTCCTGCACACTCTGCCATTCTGGGACTGCAGACAGCCAGGCAAGAAGCTCACTCACTTCTCCTTCCCTCTTCTTTCACTGTTTCCTTGCCTTGTGTGTTGACCAGAAGAAGGGTTCTGCCCCATGTCTCCTCCCTGGCAAATGAACACTTCAGCCACCACCTTTGTGCAAATATTTTTCGTCCATTTATTTTCATTTTGAAGTTTGTAAGACAGATTGCTCTCTGTCTGCCTGTGTTTTATTTAGGCTTGTACTGTGATTGAGGAGGGCGGAATCAATTCATGGCCAACATTAAAAAATGAAGTTTCCCTTAAAAAGACATTTATAACTTCTTTCAAAATAAAGATAATGTTCCATCCCTGCTCCCACTTGCTGGCAGTTAGCCAGAGCTGCCCCTTTGCCTCTTGAGGCTCCACTGCCCCGGCCTCTCTCATTCCTGTCTGGGTGGAGGACTTTGAATTTGCTACCTCTGTTTTATAACTTGTGCAAGAGCTATTTTCATTAAAGATTTTTGTATGACCAGAAGCCTCCCTGTCTGCAGCTTGGTGCCTTTGCTAACGACTGAAGAGATGGTTGAATCAGACTGTGAGGCTCAGAGACCACAGAATGGCCGCTGTCCTCCTGCTGTCCAGAGAGATTTCAAAACATAGTCACAGGGTGTGGGGAAGGTATAGGGGGCTGAGATCAAACCCCCCACTCTACCTTTTATTGGAGGTGGGGGTAGACGCCATCTTCTCCACAGCCTCTGAGGCCACAGCTGAGAACAGGCCACTTGATTGCCTCTCAGGGCAGCCTTGCATGTGGATGTGTGGGCACCTCACATCACAGAGGCCCAGGGAACCTGAGGGATCCCAAACCTCACAGCCAAGCTGGGTTTTTTCATCCCAGGGGAGACCCTAGAGCAGAGGCGACATGGGACAGTGCTGAGCATGGACACCCACACTCTGGGAATCCCCAGCGCTCAGGGTCAGACCAGTGAGTGTCCTTTGGGCTGGGGCTCCTGGCCTGGAGATACCATCATGCACAAGGGGCCAGGTTTGTCAGCAGTGCGGTGTGGTCAGAATGGTTGTGTGGAGGGCAGAAGGTGACCATGTGTTTTTAAGGAGACCAGAGGTTCGAAGCAAGGAACTGTGATCTAGCCAGTGTGTGATTGGCTGTGGAGACCAGAGGCTGGACCAAGCCAGGAAGAGGTCCAGAAGAGATGTAAGGGACTGAGGGGGAGGGGACTTCAGAACTGAAGGACCCTCAGAGTCCTGTGAGGATTCTTGGGGGTCTGGACGGAGACAAAAGGGAGAGGGGTCGGGAGGCTGGAGGTGGGGCAGGATAGGTCACTTTTGGGATATGGCAATCTGCCCAGGGTCTGTTTTTGTGGCACCTCAGGAGCAAACTCGTTGGGGACTCAGAGCAGGTCCTGTCTGGGGCTCAGCTTGGGTTTTCTGTTTAAATCACAGGCCCAGGTTGGTGTCTAAGTTGGCACTGGGCTGTGGCAGTCCTGACACTAGATTCACACAGGTCATTCCAACTCCTTCTTTTAGTAATTCACTTAACAAGCTTAGTCTGTTTACTGGGTGCTTGCCACACACGACGACAGCATCAGTCATCAGGGGTACAGAAGTGAATAAGGTGAGCTGGGCCCTGAACTCAGAGCTCCATCTAAATGATAGGGTCTCCACCTACGCTGCACACAAGCCGTACCCCTGACCAATCAAAGCAGAATGTCCAGGGGAGAGACACAGCATCATCAGCATTTTTAAGGCAATACCAGTTGTTTCAATATGCAGTGCTTTCAAACATAAGTGAATGGTAACCCTTTATACAGATCACAAAAGCATATTGTTGCCGCCCAGGAGACATCAAGGCAAGTGGTCAGGTCCCCTCAGGGCAAATCCCCTTCCAAGACTAAGACTAAATGGGAAAACACAGAAGCAGATATGCGCTCTGATTGGTGACCGTATTTGTCACCAATAAGGGGAAGTGCAGGGAAAACAGAAATGAAGTAGCGAGCTAAGCCTTATGGGGACTCTTGGGCCCAGAGTCAGTGACATAGCCACAGATGACTAGAGTGGAGAGTGAAGCGTCCAGCTGATAAGAAGAGAGGGCATATGCATAAGAACACCCACACTTGCAGATAATACCTACTTGACCTGGCTTCAATGGCTGGATGATCAGAGCTCAACTAGAAGAAGTTGTTGTTGTTGTTGTTAAGTGCCGTCGAGTCGGTTCCGACCCATAGCGACCCAGAAGAGGAAAATAGAGTAATCTGATAAAATTTGATGACCTTGATCTCCACTTATGAATGCAGTAGCTCAAAAGAGGGAACAAATCTTTACAGCGAGGATCATTCCCACCCCTTCTATACACAAGAGTAGACAGGGACAACTTGGACATTGGCTACCGAAAATGGGGGTGCTACAAAGGCAAGAAGGCTTTGTACAAACGTTTACAAACTTTCAAGAGGGAGCCTAGATCCAGAGGGCGCAGAGGAAGATAGAATCTCCACTGAGTGGTTTCCAATCTGTCTGGACGGGGCTGATGAAAAGAGATGGGGATAGGTCTCTTGTGGTACTGTAGTGGATAATTGTTTTCAGGTTTGACTGTGAGGGTTGGAAATGTAAAGGTAGACGTTTTGTAGCTAAAGGAGGGGAGTGATTGACTTTGCACTCCAGGAACGGAAGTCCCTGGCACCATCGAGGGAGAAGAGTGGAATGCGGGGACCCTACTCTGATAGTGTAGTGGTTATGAATTGAGCTGCGAACCATCGCAAGGTCAGCAGTTCAAAACTGCCAGCTGTTCCGCAGGAGAAAAATGAGGCTTTCTGCTCCCATAAAGATTTACAGCCTCAGTAACCCTGTACAGGGTCACTATGAGTCAGAACTGATTCCACGGCACATAACCACCACCACCACCCAGAGAAGCAGTGATGCCAGAGATGGAGACAGAGATGACGTGGAGAGAGGGCAGCTGGGAACTCTAGACCCGGAGAGGGAGAGGGGCTGTGTGCTGACAATCAAGGAGAAGGCTTGCAGGGTATACTCTTTGGTTGGTTGATGATGCATGGAGGGGATTGTAACCATGACAATGTAACGATAGGATGAATGTGAAGCTAATGTTCTCTCATATAAACTATCAGATAATTCACAATAAAACATTTTTTAAAAAAAAAAGCATATTGTTGCATATGTTGCTCAATGGATGCGACAGAGGAGACATGGGAACACACTGTGATAAGTGGTTAGACAGGGGAAGCAGGACAACGGAGGAGCACAGGAAGTGGAAGCAGAAACTGGGGGCAATGAAGGTTTCACGGAGGCTGTGGCATTTCAGCTGAGATCTGAGGCCAAGCATTAGCTAAGTGGTAGGTGGAGGAGAGGGTAGAGTTCTAGGTCAGGGACCAAAGAGGTCACCAAACGGGTCAATGAAATGGGTAAGTAATAATCTTGGAGTTAAAACAAGGGATTTGGTGTTTTTTCCTGAGGGCAATGAGTACCCAGGAAGGGTTTATTTTATTTTATTTATTTTTTTTTTAATTTTGAATCTGAGAACATTTATTGCACAACTAGACGTTGAAATCCTTAAGATGAACTGGATGCTGCAACAGCTGCCCTCTTGGGTTTAGGTGTGGTTCCTTCACGGAATCCATGCCTGAATCTGCAGTATACAATTTTTAGGTGTTTCATTTGACCAGTACTAGTGGTGTTTCGTCTTTTAGCCTTCGCATTTCAGATATACTTTCTCTTGTTCTTGGCAGGGTAGCCACATTTGCCACAGGTCGACTTCTGAAGATGGAACAACGTGTGCGTCTTATTGCAACACTTTCCAAACGATGACGTTCCCTTCGTCATCTCACTTCTGCCTCCGAGACTAAAGAGGCCAGAAGAGCCCAGGAAGGGTTTTAAAGAAGAGTATAGAATCGAAGAAGTCAGTTTAGCAACCGTGATACAGTGAATTTACTGAATACGGCTCTTATAAATTCCCACCAAATGATTGGGTATGACTATGCAAATAGGGTGTATGAAATGCTAACATGGGGATTGGTTAGTTTTACCTTCTCAGAAGCAGAAAGGGGGAGTCTCAGCACCATCATGAAATAAGAACCGTAAGCAGAGCCAGCAGTGCAGAAAGTACAAGACAGAGCAGCAGGCTTCCTGGCTTAGGGGATGAGTGATGTTGCCAGCGCCCTTTGGACGTTTCTTAGCAGTACTAAAGGAGTTTGTAACACTTGCCCAAGCTGGGCAGCGGCTGAGGGGCCAAGTGACTGAGACACAGATGTTGAGCCTAGAGAGAGGCAAGCCTGCATTGTGACTGAGAAGAGGCACTCCTGACCAAAGAACTGCTGTGTCCTGAGTTGTTTCTGATCCTGAATAACTTAACTTCCCGAATAAACTCCGTAACCATGAATATAATCAGAATCAGTGAGATCCATGTGGCCATTGCAGTAGATTATTGAACCCAACAGAGCAGCGCAGTGCCATGGGAGAGATGGTTGGTGTCAGAATAAGGTAAGGAAGGTTGAAGGGTGGAGGCATGTCTGACCTCTGCTTCATAGGAATTGGCCTTGTGCTGGAATTTCTTATTCTTCCTTGTGAAGCTGGAGGTCAGATACCACCTCCATGCCATTGTTGCAGCAACCATGAATACCCTTCAGAACAACTATCAAGCAAAACCTAACAGGTGACAGCATCGTATATTTCCATTATATAAGAATGTCTACTTGTAACCAACAAAACTATCCATTCAGGTGATTTCCCCAGAACAAAGGCAAATTCAGGTACCCATCATTCTCAAGAGACCTGCTTGCAGTTTTCAAATGTGCACTTTTCTGGCGTTTGCAAATCCCATCAATTTTCTCTGTTAGTGTGGCAAACATGAATTGCTAATTTTAGTTGCCATTGAGTCAACACCACATCATGCCAACCTAGTGTACCACACAATGAAACATTGCCCAGCCCTAAAC